CATCCTGATGCTGCCAATTGGTCCAGTGGTGAGAATCTTTGCCTTCTTGACATTGAGCCTCAGTCCACACTGAAGGCTGCAGTCCTTGACCCTTCTATAAACTTTTATTAAAATCACAATGAAAATTAAAATAATTCTTAAAACAATTTTTCTAGATCTACCTTGAAATATAATCCTGTGATAGGATACTATCCACACACACATACAAGATTTGTTAATATAACTATTATTCAAATGTATGCACCAACCACTAAAGTCAAAGATGAGGAAATTGAGGACTTCCACCAACTTTTGCAATCTGAAACTGATAAAATATGCAATCAAGATTTTTTTTTCATTATAAATGAACCTAATTAACCCAAAACCAGAAGGTTCTGAAGGCCTGGTGAGAACTGAGCATCTTCACCATAGATTTCACCTTATCTCCACCCTTGTCCTGAGTAAATGCCGATACAACTGAAATTCAAGCTTTCTCTTAGTGTTCAGCAAATCTAAAAATGCTCAAAGACAGCTTACTAACATAAAAAAAAAACATTTTTAGCCCGTGCCCCTGCCCTATTGCTGCTGTGCTGCGGACGGTTCCAACTCTTGGACCCTCGCCATGGAAGAGACTATAGATGATGCCCCCACATCAGCTGTTGTGTTGGATCATTGCCATTTTGCCCAAGTCATCTTTAACAGCGTGGAAAAGTTCTATGTCCCTGGAGGAGACATCACATGCCATTATACCTTCACCCATTTTGTCCCTCGTCGAAAGGACTGGATTGGCATCTTTAGAGTGGAGTGGAACACAACCCGCGAGTATTACACCTTCATGTGGGTTACTTTGCCTGTTGACATGAACAGTGAATCAGCCAAACAGCAAGAAGTTCAGTTCAAAGCTTATTACCTGCCCAAGGATGACGAATATTACCAGTTCTGCTATGTGGATCAGGATGGTGTGGTCCGGGGAGCTAGTATCCCTTTCCAGTTCCATCCAGAAAATGAAGACCACATCCTGGTGGTTAGCACTCAGGGAGAAGTGGAGGAGCTTGATCAGCGAAACAAGGAGCTTTGTAAAGAAAACCAGGAGCTGAAAGACAGCTGTGTCAGCCTCCAGAAGCAGAACTCAGACTTGCAGACTGAGCTCCAGAAGATGCAGGGACTACAAGAGGAGTTAGAAACCCTAAAGAACATCAATAAGGAGTTGGAACGAAATGTGAAGGAGCAAAGGGACTGCTGGGAGACAGAGTTCCTTCTACTCAAAGAAAAAAAACAGATGATGTCTTCAGAAAATGAGAAGATGGGAATCAGAATAGATCAGCTTCAGACTCAGCTGTTAACTCAAGAGAAAGCAATGGAGAAGCTTATTCTTGGAGATCAGGATAAGACTGAACAATTGGAACGCCTCAAAAAGGAAAATGACCAGCTACTCCTCAGTTTAACTGACCAGAAGAAGCATCAGAAGAAGCTTGAGCAGACGGTGAAAGAGATGAAACAGAAGGAAGCATCTGCAACGAGGAAGCAACAGGAGTTAATGGACCAGAACTTTGACCTGTCAAAAAGACTGAGTGAGAATGAGTTTATATGTAAAACTCTGCAGAAAGAAAAAGAGAAAATAGAGGGAGAAAACGATCTTTTGAAGAAGGAGAACAGAAGACTGCTGAGTTACATGGGTTTGGATTTTGATTCTTTGCCCTATCAAGTACCTGCTTCAGCTCACGGAGATGCACGACAAAATCCAGGGCTTGTGTATGGAAATCCATATTGTCGTATCCAAGAAAGTTCTTTTCCAAACCTGGCCACCGTCACAAAATACTCCACTGGCAACATGGGCCTTGCTGAGGATATGAATAAGGAGGATCACAGTTTGGAGCAGCGTGTGCAGGCCCTTTGTTTGGATTGTCCAATCTGTGACAAGAGCTTTCCAATAGGCCAGAAGCAGATCTTTGAAGACCATGTGCTCTGCCACGCTATATAAGTGTCCCAGCCTGTTGGATCTATACTGTAGATTGATTCTATAGAGCAGAACCCGTCGCTTTCCTTTATGAGTTATAACTCCAAATCCTACCTAACCTGACATGTAGGGAATTAGTCAGCCCTGTTCTCCCTAGAGCTGGAGTCATGTTGATTATCTGAAGGATAGTGTTAAAGATGGTTAATCCATCATGTTGATTAAAGATTGTGTTAAAGATGGTTAGTACATCTTTTTGAGTTTTCAGTGAAATAACTCTTGTAATGTCAGTCCATCACCTCTGGTGCCCAGTCTTTGAGGGACTCCAGCACAAGAAATCTGGGATGGGACTGAGGGCTCTTCACAAGCAGCCTGACAACTTTTTTCACTACCAGAGTTAGACCTAGCTTGTATTTGTACTTAATCCTCAACACTAATCCCAGAACTGACGAGTTTGGCCTCTTGAAATGTACTTCACTAAAGTTGGCACAGCAGAGAACTTGGAGAGTCAGTTTGGATATCAAAGGTTGCTCGTCTTATTTTCTCAGCTCCCAGCAGAAATATCTTCCTGAACCATGGACAAGAAATGTTATTTCAATTACAGAAAGCCACCTTTCTCTCTGGCATTTTTCTACTCACATCTTTCTATGCATAAAACTTTTATTATTATAAATTTTTTCTTAAGGTTAGTAAGATTTGTTAGGCACTGTGTGGGCCTGAAACATTTTTGGAACAGGCGAGTATGAATATAGATGAGTCAGTAATGAGACAAACACTGTTAATCACTTTATTAAACAAAAAATAAACAAGTCTTGTATTTAAAAACAAAACAAACATTTTTATAAACATTATGCTTTATGAGAGAAAAGTAACAGAATGAAAATAGAAAGTATCTTTGTGATTTCAAGATGTATGTTTTCCTAAAGCAGTTTCAAACTTTTTGATCAGGGAAGAAGTATCTTCTTTTTTTTTTTAAATGTATAAAAAAATAACACCCATGTTTCAGTAATCACCTGAAATAAATGTTTGAGAAAACTTATTATGTTTCCACAATTTTTGAAGTTACTAAATATATATATCCAAAGTCATTGTCATAGAGTCAGAATGCTGTCATAGCGGACCCTCCAATTGGATTTGCAAGGCTATAAATAGCATTGGAGGAGACTGTTCACCAATTGGATTTGCAAGGCTATAAATGGCATTGGAGGAGACTGTTCATCTTTCTTCACAATTTTGCAGTTGGACTGCCAGAAAGATACGGCCTTTGAGTTAGCACAACTCCCTACAGACCACACCACCCAAGCTCTCTTTTAAAGTTAAGTTGGTCTGGGACTTCTGGCAGAGTAGGTGTGTCTGTTTGGCCACTCTACAGCAAAGAAAACAGCAGACCAATAAAAATATCAACCTGTTGTTCTCTTGTACCACAGCTGATCCTCTAGCAGGTTTTACAAGACAGTAGACCAGACAGGAGACTGTTCCTCTGTCTCCCATGGAGCAGCTGGTGGAACTGCTGGTGGGTTGGCAGCAAAATTCCTTACCACCAATTATGATAGATGGAGAAAGACTGTGGCTGTCAATGATTTTATCTCATTTGAATAAGCAATCAACATCTTTGGTACCAGTACTCAGGAAATTGGGAGATGTACCACATTGGGCTAGGCCATTGTCAGTGAGCCTTCCAGAATACTGAGGGTAATGATGTCAGTTTGAAGACTAAGGTGTGCCTGATTCAGACCATGGTTTTCTCAATCACCTGCTATGTATCAGAGAACTAGACAATGGATAAAACTGACAAAAGAAGAACAGATGCCTTGGAACTGTGGTGTTGAAGAAGAGTACTGAATATCCATTGACAGCAAAAGAACAGATAAATCTTGGGGGAAAAGCATCCAGAGTCCTCCTTGGAGGCAAAGGTGGCAAAACTTCACCTTTAATACTTTGGACACACAGCTTGGCAAGACTATTCCTTGTAGAAGAACATCATGCTTGGAAAGATAGGTCAACAAAGGAAAGGATGAACCCCAACAAGGTGGACTGACACAGTGACTTCAGTGATGAGCTCCAGTGCGTCGGAGATGATGGATACGGCACGGTTCAGGTTGGCTGTTCATAGGATTGCTATGAATTGTACTTGATTCGATAGCACCAAACAATAAGCCACTAGCACTCCTCAACAGCCATGACTAAACCCAAAGAAATGAAGGAGTGGGGAGGGGAACCCACAAAAAATAGAAAACACAGAGCACAGTATTTTAAACAGTGTTTATGTTGTGTGCCATGAAGTCAGAACTGATTCATAAAATCAGAACATCCATGAAATTGGAGCTGATCAGTGGATTTTCAGAGACAGTAAATAACATCAATTGATTGCTCAGCCTTCCCATGTAGAGAAGATGGTGGATTTGAACTGTGTGCCTTCAGGATTGCAGCACAGCTTCTTACCACTAGGCCACCAGAGCTCCAAAACATAGATCAGGAAAATCTTTCTGGAGGAGCAAGGCTTCTGGAATTTCCTGAAAGGAATTAAAAAAAAAAAGTTAGAAAGTTAATCAGATCTATTCCACAGATCTGCAAAACAGAAAAGATAGGAGAATTAAAAGCAAGACACAAGATCCAATAGATAAAATATATGGCACAGTAGAAGTAATAGAAATAGAGCAAAATGAAATTCAGAATATTAAGACTAAATTGCAGATCTAGATTATGTTTGGGAGGTCAAAAGAGTAGAATGGAAGAAATGAAATACAGAATCAATGAATTAGAGGACAAATTTCCCAATATTAATCTGAGAGGAACAATGAAAAAAGTCAGAAGGTCAAAGAAGAAAGCCCAAGAATTATGTGAACCAACATCAAGAGGAATAACTCATATGTGATCTGACTTCAGAACAGGGAGCAACTAAAAAAACGCACATAGGAAAGTTTTCAAAACTGTTGCCTGAAACCATCTCAAAAACTATAAAAATATGAGAAAACAGATGTTCAAGAAGCTGATCAAATGCTAACAACCAACCACCCTCCAAAAACCCTTCACTACCATGACACATGGAGACTAGAGTGTGCCTGATCCAGGCTATAGTCTTTGCAATTAGGTGCTATGCATCAGAGAGTTGGACAGTGACTAGGGTTGATAGAGAATTGATGCTTTTGAGCTGTGGTGCTGGAGAAGAGTGTTGAATATACCATGGACTGCTAGGAGAACAAACAGGTTTGTCCTGGAGAGGGTGAAGCCAGAATGTTCCCTGGAGTCAAGGATTCTGAAGCTTCGTCTGACATATTTTGGGCATGTTGCAAGGAGAGACTGGTCCTTGGAGAGGGACATCATGCTTGGCAGAGTGGAGGGGCGGCAAAGAAGAGGAAGACCTTCGATGAGATGGATCGATTCTGTGACTAGAGAGGTGGGAATAAGTGCATTTAAGATGGCTAGGTTGGCACAGGATAGAAGAGTGTATAGAGCTCTTGTACATAGGGTTGCTATGAGTCGTAAGCGACTCGATGGCACATAACAACAACAACCACCATGACACAGTATAATAAAACTTTGCAAAATAAGGACAGAGAAATAATACTGAAAACCACTCAGAAAAAAATCAAGTCACATATATGCAGAACATTTCTCAGTCTAAAAACTATGCAGGCAAGACAATAGGATGAAACTCTGAAAGAGAAAGAAAATGAAAAAATCTTGCCAACCAAGAATTCTGTACCCAGTAAAACTGTCCATCAAATATGATGGTATGTTCAAATCACATCATTAGCCTAGATAAATTTCAACACGCTTTACTAGACTTTGGCCAACAAATATTCCCAGACCAAATACCAACCTCACAGAAACAGCTATTAAACTGGGGAGTTGGGTCCTCCTGAAAGACTGGAGAGAGGAAGGGCCACAAATACAACTAGAGCCCCTATGGACAGGACCCTACCAAGTTCTTCTATCCATCCCCACAGGCATCAAGTTCAAGGGAATAGAAAGCTGGGTGCATGTTACCAAAATAAAACCACTCCCTGAGTCTCCTCTGGAGAAAAAACATTCAGACCCAGAATATGCATGAGAGTCTATAGACGGTCTCAAATTCTTATTTAAAAAGAAAGCCCATTCTCAAAACACTTCAAATAGGGAAAAAGTACTCTTGTCCTATACTTTAACCTATTTTTTTTTCTTTTTTAAAAATTAATTTTAATGACATTTACACTTTGGATTTCCATTCATTCATTGCTGCATTTTTCTCTCTGCCCACCTCTCCACCCTAATTCACTCTTCTCTTTGAAAAGTAAAAAGAAAATGATTTTATTGTTATACAATTCCTCCCCCCAAGTCCACTCCACTATGCAGCCTTCATTCTGGACTCCTGTCATGACTATAATACCTAATCATATATCCCTTTTAAACAGTTCTCTCCCTCACCTGTTTCAGTGCAGTACATTATCTATCCCCTCCTTCTCAGTCTCCCCTCAACCCCGATGTCAGTTCCATTTTACAACAGTGGCCCTATGCAATATTTGTCTTTTTGTGAGTGAGATATTTCACTCAGCATAATGTCCTCCAGGGTCACCCATCTTGTATAATAATGAGTTCCTTGTTTTTCAATGCAGCGTAGTATTCCATTGTGTGAATATACCACAGCTTCTCTGTCCATTCGTTTGTTGATGGGTTGTTCGCAACTCTTTGCTATTGTGAACAAAGCCGCAATAAACATGGGTGTGCATATATCTGCTTGGGCAGCGGTTACGGTTTCTTTAGAGTGTATTCCCAGTACTATTCTTTATTATACTACTCTTCTAAGATGCAACTTTCTTCACTGAAAGTCTTCTACCTCATTAATACTCTTTTCAGTTAATACCAAACTTAACCTATAAAATCTATTAGCTATCTAACTCTTCGAGTTCTTAGCACAAATCTAGAGTTAAGTCTAATAGCTTTTCCTCTATTTGGGCACTTAGGTACCCACAAAAGAGGGTCATGGAGAGTTTCAGAGGCCCTGAAGGCAGGACAATGCCCAACCCCAGCATGAAGCTGCTAGAGCA